ATGAGAGTCCAAATCTCTCCTCATCTTCACCAGCATTTGTTATTTTCTGTCTTGTTGAACTTTGCTATTACTGCTGGGATGAGATGGTATCTTGTTATTGTTTTGATTTGCATTCCTCTAATGGCTATTGACTGCTAACCAGAAGGCTGGCGGTTCAAACCCACCATCCACTCCTCGGAAGGAGGGTTGGGCAATCCTACTTCCGTAGTGATACTGCCTCGGAAACCCAAGGAGGGGTCGCTATGAGTCGGGGCCGACTCGACGGCTTATAACAACAACAAATGGCTATTGATGCAAATATTTCTTCATGTGTTTGTTGGCTGCCTGAATATTTTCTTTGGTGAAGTACCTGTTCACGTCTTCTGCTCATTTTAAAAACTGAATTGTTTGTTTTTTTGATGTTGAAGTGTTGGAATTTTCTATAAATTTTAGAGGTAAGTGCCTTGTCAGATATGTCATTGCAGAATATTTTTTTCCAATCTGTAGGTTCTCTTTTTATGCTTTTGCAGAAATCTTTTGATACCATAAGAATTCAATTTTTAGAAGATTCCAGTCATTTATTTTATCTTCTGCTGTTTGTGCATTTTTACTTATGTCCTGTAGTTTATTAATGCCATATGTTAGGTCCCCTAAGTTTGCCCCTGTTTTTTCTCTGATGAATTTTATAGTTTTAGGTTTTACACTTAAGTCTTTAATCCATCTGGAGTTTGTTTTTGTGTATGGTGTGAAGTATAGATCTTGTTTAATTTTTCTGCAAATCGATATCCAGTTTTGCCAGCACCATTTGTTAAACAGACTATCTCATCCCCATTGAATGGATTTCAACCCTTTGTCAAAAATTAGCTGACCATAGGTGGATGGATCTATTTCTGGGTCCTCAATTCTGTTCTACTACTGTATATGTCTGTTGTTATACCAATACCAGGCTGTTTTGACTACTGTGGCTGTAAAATAGGTTTTGAGATCTGGGAGTTTGAGACCTCCTACTTTGTTCTTCTTCAGTAGTGCTTTGCTTATCTGAGGGCTCTTTCCTTTCCACATAAAATTAGTAATTGTTTTTTCCATGTCCTTAAAGAATAGTGATGGAATCTGGATTGGGATTGCATTGAATATGTAGATCACTTTGGGTAGTACTGACATTTTTACAATGTTCAGTCTTCCTATCCATTAGCATATTATGTTCTTCCAGTTATATAGACCTCTTACAGTTTCTTTAAGTAGTGTTTTGTAGTTTTCTTTGTATACATCTTTTGTATCTCTGGTTAGGTTTATTCCTAATTATTTTACCTTTTTTCAAAATACTTTCTTAATCCCATTGCTTTTATTGTCCTTTTTACTTGTTTGAGAATATTTTTTTATTAGCATAAGAATATTCCCAAAATAACACTTTTTCTTTAAATGTCCTAATGAACGATGGTTGCAGGGGACATCAAGCTCAATTGTCACAACATTGTATACAAAAATATTCTTCCACATCTTACTTTGATGAATAAAGACTGAAGTCTTAAAAGCTTTCAAGTGGCCATCTAAGAGGTAACTATTGGTCTCTTAATCTGGAGCAAAGAAGAATGAAGAAAATCAAAGACACAATAAAACTGTTAGTCCAAAAGACTAATGGATGATGAAAATTTCAGCCCAAATGACCCTGAGATCAGAATAACTAGATGGTGCCTGGCTATCATTCTCAACCACTTGAAAGGGGATCAAAATAGGAGATCCTGGACACAGTGGGAGAAAAATGTGGAACAAAACTCAAAATCATGAAAAAGCCATATTGGACTAATAGAGACTGGTGGAACCCCCAAGACTACAGCCTCGAGTCACCCTTTGGGCTTGGAATTAAAGTTATTTCTGGCTTGACTGTCAGCCAAACAATAGACAGACCTACAAGCTGAACACCTACACCAGGGAGATGCACTCCTTAGAACAATCAACCATGGAAGATGAGAAAGGAAGCATTTGAGAATGGAGAAAGGAGGAAAACAGGAATGCATAGGACACAGGGAAAGGGTAACCACAAGGAGGAAGTAGGAGGTGAGCTGTTCCATTGTGGGAATGTAACAATGTCACAAAACAAAATGTCTATGAACTGTTGAATGTAAAATGAACCTGCTTTGTAAAATTTCACCCAAATTACAACAGTTTAAAAAAAAAAGAAAGAAAGTAATTTTAAAAAATGGTATAAATAAATAAATGCCCTAATGACGGGACATGGATAAGGATAAGGAGTAAAGAGTAGCTTTGTACTTTGCTCTACTACTATTCTAGATCATTTATGTGTTCAGTGACCTTTGTCTATTTTTATTTGGTACAACAGTTTCATGGTACGTTGTCAGCATTTAATGTAGTTAAATTTAATCTTCAAGGAGAAGAACTCATATAACCCAGCAATACCACTCCCAGGTATATATCCCAAAAAATTAAAAATGGGAGCTCAAACAGATTTTTGTACACCAAGGTTCATTGCAGTATTATTCATAATAGCCAAAAGGCAGAAACAACTCAAGTGTCTATCAACGTATGAACGGATTAAAAAGTGTGATATATGCATACATTGGAATCTTATTTGCCCTTAAGGAGAAATGAAGTTCTGATACAAGCTAGAACATGGATGAATCTTGAAAATATGTCTAGTGAAATGAGACACCCAAGGACAAATTTGTACAATTCCACTTACATGAAATATCTAGAATAGGCAGATGCATAGAGACAAAAGCTTATTAGTGGTTATCAGAGGCTGGGAGCAGGAGGTAATGAGAAGTTATCACTTAAGAGGCACTGAGTTTTCTTTTAGGATGATGAAAAACATTTAGAAAAGATAGTTGTGATGGTTGTACAACATGGTGAATGTCATTTGTGTCTCCAAATTGTACACTTAAAAAATGGTTATAAACAAATAGCCTGATTGAAAAATAGGCAAAAGACTTGAATAGACATTTCTCAAAGAAGAAATACACTTTGAAAAAATTTGCCATTAGTATTAGGAAAATGCAAATCAAGACCACAATGAAATATCACTTCTCCCCCACTAAGATGGCTATGATAGGGGAAAAAAAACAGCCCATAAAACAGAAATCAACTGATGTTGGTGAGGATGTGAAGGAATTGGAACCCCCCTCCATTTTTGATGAAACTACAAATGATACAAAACCAAAACTAAACTCACTGCCCAATGGCCCTGACTCATAGCGGCCCCTCCTTGGGTTTCCGAGGCAGTATCACTTTGGAAGTAGATTGCCCAACCTTCCTTCCAAGGAGTGGCTGGTGGATTTGAACCACCAGCTTTCTGGTTAGCAGTCAAATGCCTTAGGCACTATATACCACCAGAGCTCCCCAAGATAATAAAGCTGCTGTGAAAAAATAGTTTGGAGGTTTCTCAAAAAGTTAAACATAGAATTGTCATTTGATCCAGCAATTCCTCTACTAGGTATATACCTAAAAGAATTAGAAGTAGGAATACAAGCAGATATGAGTACACCAGTGTTCACTGTAACACTATTCACAATAGCCAAAAGGTAGAAATGACCCAAATGTCCATCAATAAGTAAACGAGATGTAGTATATGTATACAATGGAATATTAATCCATCATGGAGAGCAATGAAGCCCTGTTACATGCTACAGTATAGATGAATCCTGAAAACACTAAGCGAAACAAGTCAGTCACAAAAGGTCATATATTGTATGATTCCACTTACATGACACATCTAGAATAGGCAAATGTATAGAGTTCAAAGCTTTTTAGTGGTTCCCAGTGGTAGTAGGGAGGGGAAAGAGGGCATTGAGCTTTTATTAAGGATGATGGACAGATTTGGAAATGGATAGTGGTGATGGTTGACAACACAATGAACATAATTAATGCCACTGAATGTACATGTAAGAAAAGTTGAAATGGCAAATGTTTTATTACATATATATTTACTACAATTTTTTAAAATGGCCTAAATGGCAAATATTTTGTTGTCATATTTTACCACAATAAAATTTTTAAAATAATAAAAAGAGAAAGACTAATAATCATTTCTATCATTTTTTTAAATTAAGAAATACATATTTCGATGTATCAATAGTATACAGGCAGTCCCCTGGTTAAAGATACATTCCTAATTGTGTCTTTAAATCATTTTTGTAGGTAAGTTGGAGCAGGTGCACACTACTCTTATTTAGCCTTACTTTTGCACAAGAAAGGAGCCCTGGCAGCACAATGCCTAAGGCATCTGACTGTTAACCAGGAGGCTGGTGGTTCAAACCCACCAGCCACCCCACAGAAGGAAGACTGTAAAGATTTACCACCATGGAAACCCAACGGGGATCACTATACATCAGAATCAACTTGATGGCAGTGGGTTTGGTTTTTTTTTTTTTTTTTTTTGGTTTTAGCACAAGAAAAGGCTCAAAGCCATTTCTGTGATTTAAAAGCTGTGCATTCAACAAATGAAGGTGATTATGATGAAGAATTTGTTGTAAGTAGGGGTCGGTTCAATTGCTTCAAAGTGAAGGCAAATTTATATAACATTAAAGGACAAATCTCAGTTGTCTGTAAGTCAGACTACCGTAACTCAGGGACTTAATGTATTGACTTAATTATGTGATATATAACTATTTACAGATTACAGACCATAAAATCACTGCATTACATTGGAGCTACCATGTACTACCAATGTTAACACTTGAATATACACCTGAGACAATAGGTTTGAAAGTCCCAAGAAATCAGGACCCATGAGTGTGAGGGTTTAGGTGAGTCCTTCTACCAGGAGATGACTAGGAGCGTTATTCTTCCTCTTTAGTTGGGGATCTCAGATTCCCCAAGGCTGACCCTTCTGTTGAGGGGAGTTATTTGAACCCTGGAGACTATGCAGTCGACTGTCACTTGTCTACTTGATTTATGAATGGTTTATGATATGAAGGTTGCATAAACAGGAAGCAGTGATAAATAAGTGGCCTTTTGTGGCTCTTTTGAGAAAAGCTAAAATTGGTTAAACTTAGCTAACTTCTTACCTGCAGGAACGACTTGAATTAAAAGAAGCACACCTCCTCCCATGAATAGTACCCCAGCTATGATATAACGCCTGGGCAGGGTTCGCAGCAGCAGCCATGCTGTAATGTAAGCTGGGATCTCAATCAAGGCAGAGAGGAAACAGTTCAAGAAGGCATCACCATGTAAATTAGGAGCATTGAGAGACAGAGCAAAGTAACCCACTGAAGTTAGCATCCTGAAAGACAGGGGGAATAAAAAAGATAAAATTATAAAATAAATGCTTGAATCACTCTAAAATTTCATCACGGTCAAGAAATTATCTAGATCCTGCTATCCTATATGTAGCTACTAGCCACATGTGACTATATAAATTGAAATAAATTAAAATTAAACCACATTAAAAATTCATTTCCCCAGTTGTGCTAGTCACACCTTGAAAACTCTATGGGGGAGTTCTACTCTGTCTGACAGGGTCATTAAGTGGCAATGAGTTGTTTAATTTTTGGGGGGATTTATACTATGTTGGATAGCACAAGAGCTAACCCTAAACAAAACATCAAACTGTACTGATAAGGATAGCAATGCTTTTTGCATTTGATGGTAAGTGCAGATTAGACAAAGGCAGTAACTCGTTTATTATTAGGAGCTCTGGTAGCATAGTGCCTAAGGCATTTGACTATTAACCAGAAAGCTGGCAGTTCAAACCCACCAGCCACTCTTCAGAAGGAAGGTTGGGCAATCTATTTCCATAGTGACACCTCCTTGGAAACCCCAAGAAGGGGTTGTTATGAGTCGGATCTGACTTGGTCACAGTGAGTGAGTTTATTATTGGCTCAGTAGCACCATTGCTGAAGATAAATTTGCAGGAGAGAGATATGCTGACATGTAAGAACTAAGGAGGTCCACAGTGAGGGAGGCCATGTGCCTGGGATATACCTGATTACTTCAGAGACAGTTGCCCTCTGACATTGATTTCTTCTGATTGCAAAACAAAATGGCCCTTCAAATAGCCTAGCTGTAGCTCGAATTTACTAGTTCCGATTATCTTTATTTATTTTGCTGTGTGTGTGCTGCTGTCATGGGTAGGCCAGCTCTTTCCTTTTTTTTTTTTTTTTTCCTTTGCCTCATTTCTTGGCAGCTACATTATTAAATCTGGTCTAAAGTCAATTAATTATTTCTATGCCTTTAAAGAACTTGTTAATTTGAAAACAGCAAGTGTAAAAAGCTGTGGTGATTCAATCCAGGCAGTGGGATACAGGAGATTCTACTCTCATTGTTCAGTTGCCAGTGCAACTTCAGGAAGTGGAATGTGAATTAGCATCTGTGCTGCAGCCACCAGGGACACCATTAGTCTTCTAATTCTGTAACCCTAGGAAGGGAGGAAACACTTTCCCTGTGGGCCACAGTCTGCAGACTTAAATATAGTTCCTTATATGTATAGGAACTCTGGTAGCACAGTGACTAAGGCACTTGACTGCTAACCAGAAGGCTGGTTTTCAAAACCCATCAGCCACTCCTCAGAAGGAAGGTTGGGAAATCTACTTCCGTAGTGATACTGCCTCGGAAACCCAAGGAGGGGTCGCTATGAGTCAGGTCCAACTCCAAAGCACATAACAACGATAACAATATATATTTATATATTTTTTAAAGTATCCAGTTCCATGAATTGAACAGAGGCATTTCCAAACAACTTGTTAACTGCCGTTGAGTTGGGTTGGCTAGTTTCTGAATCAAGAAGACTCTCTTCCACAGAACAAAACTGTTGTCCAGTCCTGTGCCATCTTCACCATCACTGGTGCTTGAGCTCATTGTTGCGGCCACTGTGTATTTTGAAGGCCTTCCACGCTCGCGGGCTCATCTTCAGCACTATACTGGACAATATTTTGTTGTGATCCATAAGGTTTTCACTGGCTAATTTTCAGAAGTAGATTGCCAGGCTTTTCTTCCTAATCTCTCTTAATCTGGATACTCTGCTGAAATCTGTCCACCATGAGTGGCTGTGCTGGTATTTAAAAAAGCTGGTAGCATAGCTTCTGGCATCATAGCAACACACAGACCATCACAGTAGGACAAACTGACAGATGGGAGGAGGCAAATAACTTGGAATTCTGTAATTTTTTGCTTCAGGGTAACTCAAACCTTGCCCAGATATTTTCTCTGAATTAAAGTTGCATACTCATGTGCTGTATGTAGACACTTCCAGATCACTTATTACTTACCACAGCAATAAAAACATAATTGTTATTATGGCAACATCCCAGGTCCTGAACAGGTCCAGAATGAAAACTTTCTCATGCTTCACAGATTTTAGCTCCTGTAGCTAAGAAAATGGAAATAACCATGAGATTAAGAGGGAGTAAATAGGAAGATTTATGCATGTAACTCTTGCTTTGCCTTGAATAAGCTTAAACCAAACCAAACTCCCTGCCATTGAGTCGGATCCCACTTCGCCTTGGGTTTCCAAGGCAGTATCACTACAGAAGTAGCTTGCCCAACCTTCCTTCTGTGGAGTGGTTGGTAGGTTTGAACCACCAGCCTTCTGGTTAGCAGTCAAATGACTTAGGTACTATGCCACCTCACTGCCATGGAGTCATTTCCAACTCATAGCACCCCACCTTGTGTTTCTGAAGCAGTATCTCTATAGAAGTGGATTGCTCAATCTTCCTTCCGAGGAGTGGCTGGTGGGTTTAAACTGCCAGCCTTCTGGTTAGCAGTCAGATGCCTTAGGCACTATGCCACCAGAGCTGAATCCTGAAATTTTGGGGGAATAAGGGCATCTACCAGTAAGATTCTGGTTAGCAGCTAAGTGCATAACCATCACATCATGGGAGCAAAGACCTGGCGATCCGCTCCGTCAAAGATTACAGCCTAGGAAACCCTGTGGGGTACTTCTACTCTATTACACGAGTATATATTGCTGAGTCAGAATTACTCAATGGCACATAACAATAACAAAAAGGACATCTACATATGTGTTGCTATGACTTGCAATCCACTCGATGACTGGGTTTTTTTTTTTAATCTAATAATATCACATGTTTTCAGCCCATTCTAGACAGAAATCTTTTAAATACATATCATTAGTTGCACTGTCTCCTTACACAAAGCTCAATTGTTAACATAGTGTTTTCTTGACTCATAACCATCAGTGTGGATGGCTTTTAATCACACTGAGCTATTTAGGGCCTATTAGTGTTGTAAGACCTTATAGCCTCAAATTGCCTTAAGGTTCTGTCTGCTTTTTACACATTTCTTCTTGGTGTTGTCTTCATTGTCTGTTAGCATCAGAACAGACTTGGATTAACCTGGAAACCTTGGCAAGTTGTTATTTATTCTCTCTGAGCTTCAGTTTATTTCTTCTGTAAAATGGGTATATAATTGGAAGTTGAGAAGATTAAATGAGATCATTATATATAAAGATTAGCATAGTACTTGACCTGTGGTAAATACCCAATAAATTTTAGCTCTTATTATTGTTATCTTACCATTGAGGAAAAGATGTTAGCCTTCAGTGGTTAGTAACTTAACTGCTTAACTGCTGTCAACGGGCTTCTCTACTTTTAATTTTCTGAGGTTAATTCCGTGAGTTTGGAATCTAGATAACCAAGCTTACTAGAATTGGAGCTGAAATAAAAATTATAAGGCTCTGAGCTGGGGAAACCCTGGGGAGAGAAAGTACAAGGACTGTAACCCTTTATAGTTGTGCAAGAAGAGATTGGAAGGAGTTTTTATTAGGAAGTGAGAGTGTGAGATATACCTTTCTAGCAGATGCTGCCCAAATTTTAGCATTCTTCTCTCCAGGAATAATTCGATACCTCCTCATATATCTCACGGCCATACTCCCTTTTCTCTCCTGCACTATTTGGAGTGCTGTTGTTGTTGTGTGTTATTGAGTCGATTCCACCTTGTAGTGACTCTATGGGACAGAGTAGAACTGTCACATAGGGTTTCCTAGGCTGTAATTTTATGGGAGCAGAATCACAGGTCTTTTCCCTGCTGTGGAGTGGCTGGTGGGTTGGAACTGCCAACCTTTCAGTTAGCAGCTGAGTGCTTAATCATTGCACCACCATACCTCTGACAGTCAAAAAACAAACAAACAAACCCATTGCCATGGAGTCAATTCTGACTCATAGCAACCCATTGGGTTTCCAAGGCTGTATGTAAATTTTTATAGAAGTAGATTGCCTCATCTTTCTCCTAAGGAGCAGCTGATGATGGGTTTGAACCGCTGACCTTCTGGTTAGCAGCCAAATGCCTTATCCACTACGCCAGAGCCCCTCCGACAGTATAACCCTGTTATTACAACAAAGCAAAACCACTGCATGAACAATGAGAACTAGATGTCCCCCTGGAGGGCTCTGAGGGCTGTGTCCATACACAGACAGGATCTACAGATCAGGCCTATGCTATCATTTGGTGCTTCCCCGGGGTCCTTGTTAAAATTCAGATTGTCAGGCCCCACTCTGGGCCTCTTAATCTGAATCTTCCATGGGGCTCAGGAGCCTGGGAATCTGTATTTTTAAAGTTCCCTGAGGGATTGTAATAAGCAGCCAGGTTTGGACTATTCTTGTATAAACTGGTTGTTGCTGGCTTGTGTGGAGCTACCAAAATGCCTTTGGATCAGGCACCTTGCAGACTGATAGGTTTCCAAGAGGATACTACTCTGTATTTTCTCCTGTCCAAGTTCATGCCACTATCCCTAACAGGGCCATTGGTGAAAAAGCACAGCGGTTTACTGAAGGACAAATACTGTATAATCCCACTTACATGACATAGGCAAAGATATAGAAGCCAAAGATTCCTGGTGGTTACCAAGGGTGGAAGGGAAGAAGAAAGTGGGAGTCGTTGCTCAGGGGCCACTGAGTTTCTGTTACTGGTGGTAGAATAACTTGGAAAAGCATAGTGATGATGGTTATACAACGTGATGAACATAATTAATACCACTGAATTGTACATGTAAAAATTGTAGAATTGGCAAATGCTTTGTTACATACATTTTTACCACATTTTTTTTTTTTTTTAAAGAAGCTAAATAAATAAACAAATTGCAGTTGTTAAGAACATACATGGAGCCAGACGGACTAGGTTCCAAATTCCAGCTTCATAGCTATGCAATCCTGGGCAAGCTACTTAACTTTGCAGTGCCTCACTTTTCTCTCCTAAAAAACAGCTAATAGTAGTGTGTAAGCACTAACTGAGCTGAAGACTGTGCCTGGCATCTGGAAGGCTCCTCACTGTCATTCTGAGCAGGCTGTGTTTACTGGCAAAGGTTGCCCAGAGCCTCCTAAAGAGGACTCAGCCTGGGAGGTGAGCCCAGGATATGGCCACAGCACGAAGAGAGAAGGTATTTTCAGAAGCACGTGTTTTGACACTGGACTTTACTCTTATTCATCAACTATATATCTCTTATGTTTTATGATTGCTTTTATCCACACAGGTCTAGATTTTACAACTAGACTGTAAGTTTCTCAAGATATGCATAAGGCCACATCTCCAGTAAATGCTCATAAACACCTAGCACAGCACTGAGAGGCATATGTGTCAAACACTCCCAAAATTCTTTCTGCAGCCTCTTACATTGATTAAGGCTGGGAATGGAATTTTTGATTTGAAGAGCAAAGACTAAAGAGATGTTTTGGCCAGGCAGTCCTCTGAGAGCTTGGGTGCTTGGTCACTGTAATTAAACCTACCGCCACAGCCATGGTACTGTTTCTGGAAAAGGTGTGGAAGGCTAGGGATGGAGGAAGCCCTCAGGGGCAGAGCACTGGCATGCCCACTGTCCCCCACAGAGTTCTGCTTTCCATGCCAGCTGGGCTTGCAGACTTGAGGGCAGGGGATGCACATGGCCGCTGAAGCCATACTTGTCTTCTTGGAATGTCCTGAACAGTCTACTTTTTCTCCTACTCTATCCTCTTTATTCACCTATGTGAACACCCTCCCTGATTTGAACTTGCCTAGGAAGGACCTGGCCACCTTGCTCTTTCTCTGTACCACTGAGCAGTGTCCACTCCTTGAGTACACAGCATTTACTCCTTTCTGTTATCATTTATCTTCTCATCTACTCCTCTTGCCCCTCTTAGTTAGTCTATGCTCCTGAAGGGCAAGAATTGTATCTTATTTTTATTTTTCTTGTTTCTCCTAGTAGCCAGCATAGGGCCTGGCATACTGCATGTCTTCTTGACTGCCAGGAAGTTAGGAGCTCTAGTGGAGTGATGCCTAAGCCATTTGACTGCTAACCAGAAGGTTGGCAGTTCAAACCCACCAGCCACTCCATGGAAGGAGGACTGGGCAATCTACTTCCATAAAGGTTTACTGCCTTGAAAACCCAATGGGGGGTCACTGTGAGTCAGAATCAACTTGATAACAGTGAATTTTTTTTTTTTTTTTAAATCATCTGTATGCAGGGATGTCAATGGTATGGAGTAGTAGTAATACAAAATTGGACGTACATGTGCAAAATGAAGGGAACAAATATTTAATGAACACTTACTATATGCTAAGCACTTTACATATATTATTGCATTTAATTTGTGCCCAGCTCTTGAAAGTGAATTTTATCTCAGAATTTACTCATCACCATATTAAATTAATTTTAATACAAATAAAGAATGCACAGCTGCTTTTAAGAGGAAACATCTACAAATGCTTACCTCCACATCAAATATCACTGCTGGGACAGTTATGTTGTTCATTTTTGCAGCTTTTCTGATGATATCTTCAGCTTCTTTAATTTTTTTCTGGGATATCAGCCACCGGGGAGATTCAGGAATAAACCTGGAATTAATTTTCAGTAGTCTGTAATTTTTCACAATGGCAAGTTTTGATACAGTTAATTGTTAAGTTGCCCTCTAACTAATTTTAATTTGGAAAAATTCTAGTTTGTGGGATTTTTTTTTTTTTTCAAAGAAAATTGGGAAGGAATCTTCACAAATTAATAAAAGCACCTCCAAGTTTCAAATTCTTGATCAAATCTCTAGACTGATCATCAGTTGTATTTGAGGCCAGGACTAGACAAGAAGGGGTTACATTAACCATGGGCAATTTAAACCAGGGCAGCTGAAAAAGGCCATCTGAAACTTAATAGCCATTGTGGCTCATAAGAGAAACTCAGTCTACTAAATTGGAAGTCCTCTTAGAGAAGAAACTGGATTGTCAGAATGTCCAGCCTAGGAGAATTCCTGATGGTCCAGCTGGTGATGTTTGCCAGATTGTTGGGAAAAGGCTGGTCAGGGCATCTGTGCTTCTCAAGCTTTTGCTGTAGGCAGAAGAGAAGGTGACGCCATGATGCTTTCCTGTGGGCAGTCCCCTCATTTGTTGATGGATTCCCAGGTCAGTAAGTGTCCAAACCCTTTTTTGAGAGAGGAGCCAACGTAATCTTTCTGTTTTAACGTCTAGAAACTTACTTTTAAAATTATAACAGTCAATCCACTGATGCTGAGACACAGTTGCAAATAATTGACTTCTGTTCTTTTTATTTCTCAGAATCCCAGCCATTCTCCTGCCAGTTGTTGTCTTCCTTACCTATTTGTCAGTTCTTAGTTATCATAGAAAGTAAAGTACATGTAGCAGAACCAGGGGCCTCCTGTAATCAACAGGCCTTCCCAAAGCCTCACTTGGAATGAGCCCAGAACAAAACACAATATGTTAAATGGCCAACCCTGCATCCCCAACCCCAGTTTACTAGCACATGGGTTGAAAAATGAGCCCCAGTTTACATTTGTTTAGAATATGCTCTTAGTTGGTCCCTGCAGGAAATGTGATGTTAGGTAACTAACCTTAGGAATTGGAGCTGCACTCTCCAATAGAACTTTCTGCAGTGTTCTACATCTGTGCTGTCCAAGTCAGTAGCCACTTAACCACATGTGCTACTGAGCACTTGACATGTGGCTAGTGTGACAGAGGAAATGGATTTTAAAATTTATTTAATGTTTTAATTTAATTTAAATAGAAACATTTGGCCAATGGCTAATGTACTAGTGCAGAATTAGAGGTCTTACTACGAAGCCACTGGATCCTTCACGGACACTTCTACTCCTGAGTAGTATCTTTGCCCAACCAGGTTATGCTTAGAACTATCCTCCCTTTTTTTCCTACAGGTTCTGTGGTTCATCACTGGCCTCAGATACCCTATAAAACATGTTTGTTAAGTCAACTAGAAAATGCAAAGCTTCCCTCATGTTGCATCTATGGCTTCCTTCCTCACCTCACCTCCACCTGCTACATATATACTGCATCCACACCTATGGTCACTCACTGCCAAGCCTTTGGAAAGGATCTTAGTACATAAAAAATTCCCAAGTCACCTGTAGTGATTCTGTGTAGTTCTCCCTCCCATTTCCAGCCCACTGGGATCTGTACTTTTGAACTGTCATGATTCTGGGGTGCACAAAGTCTCAAGTCTAGCTGATCATTTCAGAAGTTAGTGGAATGATGAAGGAGGTTGCACTCTATAGTCACTCTGTAGATCTAATTCAAATTAAACAGAGGGTGGGGTATTGCTGGAAAGTTGCTGAGCAGTCAAAAAGGACAGCAAATCTAAACAGCCCCCATATCAGCCCAGCCCACCTGGACTGGCATTGCTTCAGGAAGTTTCATCCTCAAAGGTGAAATGTTTAGAAGAAAGCTATTTTGTTTGTCAAGGAGAATGGTAATTGTCTTTGTAAGACTGTTTCTGTTAAACTTTCAGGACAAATACTCTGTTGGTTAGTATTAGCCCTGGGTTGCTTGCTGTTGGGACTGTCCTCTCTCGAGAGTAGTCCTGTCCCTGGAGCAGTTCCCTTCCTGGAAGAGTCCCATCCCTAGAGTTCTGTTCTTACACTCCTGTCCCTAGTGCAGTCCCATCCCTATAGCAGTCCTGCCCCTGGTGCAGTGGACCTCTAGCCAGGAGCCATGGCGAACAGAAGAAAGTACTTTCCTTGGGGAAGAGTGAGGCAGTGCCTCATGAGATGGGCCTTCTCTGTTGGAGATTCAGAAGAAGCTGACCTGTCAGAATTGGTCCTTGCTGTACTACTTGGTCCTGAGTCAAAGAGCCAAGACCTACACATCAAAATCCTTGCCAATCTGTGAATGGGCAGTCAGCGCACTTCTTTATTTCTATCTACCCATATATCTATTGGGAGCTCTGGTGGTGTGGTGCCTAAGGCATTTGACTGTTAACCAGAAGGCTGGTGGTTCAAGCCCACCAGCCACTCCTCAGGAGGAAGACTGGGCAATCTACTTCTGTAGAGATACCGCCTTGGAAACCCAAGGAGGGGTTGCTATGAGTGGAATCGACTCGACGGCAGTGAGTTTGGTTTTTGTAAATATCTATTAAGGAGTTCTGGCGGTGCAGTGCCTAAGATATTTGTCTGCTGACCAGAAGGTTGGTGGTTCAAACTCCGTGGAAGGAAGATGGGGCAGTCTACTTCAACTGCCTTGGAAACCCAATGGGGGTCACTATCAGTTGAAATTGACTTGATGGCAGTGAGTTTGTTTTTTTGGTATATATCTATCAATCATAATATGGTTGCTTATAACACATTTTAAAAATACTGGTCTCTTAGGCCAAAATGACAGCTAGAGCCAGGGAACACAGATTACTGAAATCATTCATCTGAAGAGGTGGAAAATAACCTTTGGATAATTTCGTCACGTGTTTTTGAGAGAACCTATGGTCACCACCTTTTCCCCAAAAATTTGACTGTCAAGAGGGTTGTGGCAAGTGGGAGAGAAGATGTGATGATGATGATGATAATGATGATGATGATGATTCCAGTAAATTGACCTGCTCTCCTAAGTCTAGGATGTTTTCTTTGGAGGCAGAGCTGTGCAGATAATGGCCTGCCTGGTTCTTGAATATTTAGCACAAGCTCTCCTGACCTTCAGATTGAGTTCCAGAAGCAACCTCAAAATCAGAATATCTAACCTTTAACATACTATCTCTCAAATTCCAGGAAAATAAGAAAAAAGAAATATTCTCTCTCTACTGCATCGCCTGTATGCCAAGAATTTACCTGGTAAACCATAGCAGTATTAGAGTCTTTGAGGTCATAAAAAGACAGTAGTTTGGAGCAGGCCAACCTGAGCCATCTGGTCAAATAAGGCCAAGTTAAGCTAATTGTCAAATTCTATGTCTGTGAAGCAGCTGCAGCAAGATTATGGACTTTCTAGGCAATTCCCAGGCAGGATGTAGGTAAAGGACAGGATAACTACCAGGACTAGTCTAAACTGTTTTCCAAAGAAAGTGATCGAAGCAGCTCTCATTATGTGTAAGCAGGCAGAAAGCAAGCAGTTCACTACAGCTAACCTCCTAAAAGATTTGATTTTGACATAATGAAACCAAACCAGTAATAATAAACCAGATTCTTTAATGGAAGAATTCCCTTTTCTCTTGCTTACATATGAAAACCAAAGAAATGGGAAATCCCAGAAAAGGGAGGTATGGCTAGGACTTTATTCCATTTTTCTCAATCTGTTCTCTTAGCTGAGCTCTCCCAGATGGTCATATTAGATAAGACCAGGACCAGCATCTCCTGACATTAATGCTATTCTCATAGCTAACATCCCAAAATGGAATTGGGGATTGTGGGGAAAGAGAAGAGAAGAACATTTAACAACTTATTAAACAGAAGTGTTTTTCAGGCTCTTCAAGACAAAGCAGATAAACAGGCACACCGTAGAGGCTAATCATCACATGACTGAGAATGTGAGGATATTATGTTAGTTGAGTTCATAAGGAGGAAAAGATGTTGGAGAGAGAGAAAAGCGGCAAAAGAACAGAGGGTAACGTTAAAAACAACCAATTCCAGCAATATCATCTCCACAAACAACAACAAAACCAGCAACAGAAACGAGCAGGGAAGAATCGAGGAGGGAATTGGATTTCCTGAGAATGGTGCTTTGTAGGTTTAAGGGGAATCAGATCCCAGTGCACAGGCCCTCCCGCAACTAGGCAAAAACTCTCTGCTTCAAGGCCCCTGGCCTTACAAGCCCCAGTGGAGACTGCGGAAGCCCATTCTGGGGTCAGCACCAGGCTCTTGGCTCCAGGATCGAGTCGCACTCACCACCACAGGGGGACGCACAGCACTCCCGGCACCGTCAGCGCCAGCAGCAGCATCCGCCAGTCTCTGATGAAGTAAGCAAACAGTGGCAGCAACATATAGCCAACTGCAAAAAATGTGCACACTCCTAATGTAGAGAATATAATACGAACTGACTTGCCAAGAATTTCTGTTCCTGTTTAAAACAAGGGAGGAGTGTTAGCATTTTAACTCACTTCAATATTCGCTTTTTACATTATTACCTGATGGAGTTCAAACTATAACCACTTAGGAAAAAGAAGAGACATTTGCCTCGTGACTCAGCAGGAGTGTGGTGGCGGGGGAGGAAGGTGGGAAGTGATTCAAGACTTAGCACCTTATAGAAGAAGAGTTTTTATGAGACTTTCGAGGGTTCACAAATTTACTTTTAAGAGAACGCTCCATGTCATAGAAATATCCTGCCCAGGACCAAGAGGTAATCTCTTCCGAGGATGTTAAATTTCCAAAATCAGAACCTCAGCCTGAGGAACAGAGAGGGAGTTACAGGAAACAAGCTGAGGGACTGTTGGGGTTAACGGTGCATTTAGCTTTTTCCACAATTCTCAATTGTAAACAGACATTAGCCCATTGGGAAACAGTGGAGACTTCACGGTTTCTGAGACATTGTTACCCACTCTTGAGCCCTGAAGAATGATAAATAGGATCCAGCTGGCTCTGGGGGTACACAGAGCAGGCTCCTGGCACCCAAGGCTGAATTCCTCCACAGCCACATTGTGTCAGGAGACGGGCCCCCAGGCAGACACCATCCATTCAGACCAAGGGAAAAAAAAAGGACCTATTTTTTGTCCCAGCAAGTGGCAGGCCTGGAGCCCCCACACACCCGGGAACTCCAGTGATCTTTCCCAGAACACCACAAAGCTGTTCATTAGTGTTGGACACGGTTTGGGGGAAGGAAATGTAGACAGCTCTAGGCTCCTGCTTTGCTAGTCTCCACTGCAGCACTCAGCACCAGTTCTTCCAGAGAGACTGCCTGCCGCGTGAAGCTCTTGGCTTAAGATGGGAGAGACCAAGAACAAACTCCTTTTCTTTTCAGGACTTTTCCACAGGGTCCATTCTTAGTCCACTGCCCCATTGGGGAAGATCTGGCAGTGGTAATGGCTCTGTCTTTTGTTTGGGTTTTAACTACCAATTCAGAGAAGCGGTAGCTCGGAAAATACAAAACATAATTCAAAGGTCATTCAGGCTTGTCTTTCAAGAGAGATTAGGGTTCATCTTGTTTATATTCTCGGAGCATGCTGGTGTCCTGGACACAGGCCAAGAGTCTAAGGGTTAATTCAAGAGAAGCACCAAAATGACTACTTCAGCTGGTTTCCCATTCCACCATTCTCACCCCACTTCTCTCTCACTCATCCTGAGATACCCATCTCAGGGATTTCTTGAGAAGCCCTTTCAGGAAGCTAGACTGGTAGATTTGGCCAGTACTGTGTACCTCCTGCATCCCATATTACCAGAGGAGTATCTAGGGTATGTGGGGTATGGCACGTCCCCTGGGCGCCACTTGAGGGGTAACCTCACCTCACTCACTGCCATCGAGTCGGATCCGACTCATAGTGACCCCTCCTTGGGTTTCTGCAGCAGTATCACTATGCAAGTAGATTGACCAACCTTCCTTCCAAGGAGTGGCTGGTGGGTTTGAACCACTAGCCTTCTGGTTAGCAGTCAAATGCCTTAGGCACTATGCCGCCAGAGCTCCACTTGAGGGGTAGGTGGCGCTAATGAGCAGTTTCCATCCAGCTGAGAGAGATCATTCAGCAATTTAAAACTAATTGCTGTAGGTGTTCTGTGTATTAATTACATAAATAGCCCTAACCACCAAAGCCATTTCTCCGCCTATGAACTAATTTCTAAGGACATGGCCTAAATTCTTTAAGGACTATCATGATTTCTGGATCTGATGCAGTGGTTAAGCACATGGCCACTAACAGAAAAGTCCATAGTTTCAACCCACTAGCTGCTCTGTAGGAGGAGCTCTGGTAGCGTAGTGCCTAAGGCACTTGACTGCTAACCAGAAGGCTGGCAGTTCAAACCCACCAGACACTCCTTGGAAAGAAGGTTGGGCAATCTACTTCTGTAGTGATACGGCCTCGGAAACCCAAGGAGGGGTTGCTATGAGTCAGGTCTGACTCGACAGCACATGACAACAACAACAGCTGCTGTATAAAGATTATAGCCTTGGAAATTCTGTGGGGCAGTTCTACTCTGCCTTATAGGGTCACTAGGAGTTGGCATAGAGAGCAATGAGTTTGAGTTTTTTTTTTTTGGTGGGGGGGGGCAGTTCTTAGCTCATTAAGGAACTCTGGTGGGGTAGTGGTTAAAGCATTTGTCTGATAACCAAAATGTCAGTGATTTGAACCCACCAGTCGCTCTGTGGAAGAAAGATGGGGTAGTCTGCTTCTGAAAAGATTTACAACCTTGGAAACCCAATGGGGGTTGCTATGAGTTGGAATCAATTCAACAGCAGTGAGTTTTTCTGTTTTGTTTTTTAGTTCATTAATGACCTTTATTATTATTATTATTCCATACTATACAGTCCATCACCATGCCCTGGCTTCTAAACCCTTTGGCTGTGATTTCCATGACATGGGAATGAATAGGAGGTGTTTTGTTCCCAAGCAGAGACTCAGAAGTGAAGCAGCATAGAGTTTGATTGTACAACAGAGAAAATGCATAGGACCAAGAGGAGCCTTGTGAATTTTAAGAAGCTTATGGAATTTTGAGCCCAAGCTCCCTTTTGCCTCCTTGATGAGAGAAGACAGAGAAGTTATACAACTGGGTTCCTAGAAAGTCTCCCTCTCTAAGCTTGTGCTTCACACCAGAACAGGGTTGTTATAACTTTGCAGATTACCATGGGGGACAGAAGCTTTGTGAATCTCTCTCTGCCCTCCTGGGGAACAGCATGGATGGTATGAACATAAACAGTTCCTTGTTAGCACTAGTTCCTGCACTCTGACTTTCAGACAATTACACTTCCTTATACATCATCATCATCATCATCTTCACAGCCAGCATAAGTTTGAATATGCACTTTAAGCCAGGTTCTGGCTGTTTTCATACATTATCTCTTTGAATCTTCACAACAATTATATAAGAACTTTTCTTACTCCTATTTTTACACATAAGCAGCTAAGACTTAGAGTTAAAGTAAATTGCCTATAACCACATATTTGTAATAAGTGGTGCAGTCAGGATTTAAGCCTGATCTGTTTGACCTATAGATACTGAGTAGCCTCCATGAGGAAAAATCCACCTGGAGGCAAAGGCTTGGCCCTACATAGCAGTCCTGGGACTGAGATTTGAATGGAGACATGTATGGGAACGGGCAAGGCCTTATCTCCTTTTAGATGTAAGGATTCGGGGTTTCTCTTCTAGGGCTTGTCCTTGAATCAACCAGAGGCCAACCAGCCCCCTCTGAGGAACAGTAGAAGAGGAGTCCTGATTCCTACACCCCAAAGCAGATCTTCCATCCCTGCAGCTGCTACAAATCTCCTATGTACTCAACTGGCAGTGGGACAAATGACATTGGTGACTCCTAGCTCTGCTGACTGGAGCTTCCAGTCCTTGCCTCTTGTACTTTGCTCCTAGGGTAAAGGCCATTTGGTCTCCATCTGGTTGGACTTCTGAGTGCCCTCTGGGAGTGTAACTCTGATATCTAAACCAAAGGGGGATGTCCTAGCCCTCTAAGCCTAAATCAGCTGTAGAAGTGTTTGCTCACTGCCTGTCACTTCCCCGTGAATCTGACACTCTTTCTCAGAGGGTCAGGTTTACTTCCATGTGAGGACAGGACTCTTCTTTGGTAGGAAGCCCAAGGAGTGACTGGGCCCATTCCACAAGGAAGTAGGACGTGCTCCTCCGTGAATGACCAAGAGAGGCCTGCAGTAGATCCCACCTCAAGAAATAAGCCTGTGGTGTAGCCACCAGGATGCAGTTTGGGACCCAGGAAGCCCTGGTGGAAATGCCCTCCATCAGGCAAGAAGACAGCCTGGACTCCTTGATACTGACTTCATCTGCAGAATGAGTCCTGCTCTGTGGAGTTACTATTGTGATGACTGAGATAACTTATGTAAACTGCAGCTTACAATGTGAATCCAATAAAAATTATGACAATGTCAAAGTAAAATATCAAGAAAAGTAAAAAGTCATGCCTTGGGAAAGAGAACAAAAATATGCAGCTATTTGCTGTGGAAAACAAACTGTTCCTCAAAAGGTCAAACATAGAGTTGTCACAGGACTCAGCAATTCCTTCTACTCTTAGGTACATGCCTAAGAGGACTGAAAACTTACGACCACACAAAAACTTGTACATGAATGTTCACAGTAGCATTATTTGCCAAAAGTCACTGCATCATATAGCCCCAAAGTAGAAACAATCCAGATGTTCATCAACTGATGAATGGATGAACAAAGTGTGGTATACACACAAAAGAATATTATTCAGCCATAAAAAGGAATGATAAACTGATTCATGCTACAACGTGGATAAATCTTAAAACCATTATGATACGTGAAGGAAGCCAATCATAAAAGGCCACATATTGTATGATTTCATTTGTAGGAAATGCCCAGAAAGTACAGAATAGGCAAATCCATAGAGAAAGTAGATTAGTGGGATTTTCAGGGCTGGGGAGAGGGGAAAATAGGGAGTGACTACTAATGGGCATGGGATTTCTTTTTGGAATGATTAAAATATTCTGGAATTAGATAGAGTTGATGGTTTAATGGCTTTGCAAGTATACTAAAAACCACTGAATTGTACACTTTAAAAGGGTAAATATTATGGTATGTGAATTATATCTCAATTTAAAAATATGTTTCAAAATATGTGGGCTGATACAGGCTGCATAAGTTGCTGTAGTTAAATTTTAAGTTTACCTGAGCTTCTTGGTAGCCAAATTTATAAAGGAAGATGTCTTTGCTTACATGTAAAAAAGATGAACACATCTAGACATCATGGGAAGCAAAGCTTTAAATAGTTTAAAATGCTGAAACAAATGTCTCGCGGGGGTTATCGTTAGGGATACTGGGGAAATATTGAATTAATTAATCCATCAAGACAGGAGGCAATTAACTGTTGGTGCAGAATAAATTCAAGCAGCTAGTTCCAGGAAATAAAAGAGGATGCTGCTGGCATTTACCCAGATGGCTATGGATAGGAAGAGGGTGTTATTTCTGAGAAATAGTGAGAGATCATGAAGGGAAGTAGGAGTGTTGATAGGGTCAGTGTCCTTGGTCCTGAGTGGTCATTTCCTCCTCAATCAGCCTCCTCCTGGTATAAGGAAATGCTTGAGATCATGCCAGTGTTATCACTTCCAGGTGTACTTGGTATTTCTTTGGGTAGCACCATTACTTCCTTCTCTTTTCTAGTCTCATATGCATCTGGCAGGCTCCATTAATTTCCAAAAGGCAGAGCAAAGACAGGACTCATTTCTACAGTGCTTTGTGAGTGGGAGTAATTCAGCATTCTGAATTAATGTGAAGACTCATAAAATTGCCAATTATCATTGCAGAGTCTTCACAACCCTTCCCTAGAGCCAGAGGGCAAAAGTGAAAGGCCCGATAAGATTAAGGAAACGAAGCCTTATTAAAAAACTAGAATTACATCAAAAGAAAGAACATTTCTTTTTTAAATTGACATTTAAATAATTAAAAATATTTCTCAAAAGTGACATCTTAAAAATATCAAAGCATATGAATAGTGTCATTTAATGGTGATATGTTTATAGTTTACATTTTATTACATGTATACTTTGTGTTTTATAATCTATTTTTACACTTTCATATTTGAAATAAATGACATATTTGGTTAAAAAAAAAAAAAAGTGAAAGGCCATACAGGACTTAGCTCAGACTCTAAGCTTTGGTTTATTTTGATCAAATAAAACCCAGAATTTGGCTATTTCTGTCCTGAAACACCAGAGGGCACTGCTGCCTTGCAGGGAGGCTAGCAGCCACATTGCCCCTGCCCTTGTTTGTCCTCTCCCAGGCACTGAGGAGGAGTCTAGCTGCCCATAGATGGGGTCGGGGCACCCCAGGGACACTCCTAAGTCTGAAATTTGAGACCCCAAAACTAGTCTCATACCAGGACAAAAAAGTCAGCAATTTTCTGCTGAGCACAGAGGAGCAAAACTTTGCAGCTGAGTAATGGGAGGCTCCCAGCGTGCATCACCACAGGCCTGGGTCCAGGCTGATAGGGAGTGGCTGTGCCCGCTGATTGCTGGCTTGGCACATCTAGGCTGTGACTGCTCTTGAATGATTTCACTTTCCATTCAGACCTCTTACCCTTCTCAGCCATGCACATGGATCAACAAGCTGCATGGGGAACTGGGTGGATGGGCAGTGTCAGAGCCAGCAGGGTAGGCCTTTCCTGCAGGAGGCCTGGGGTAGGCTCTCCCTGCCTCATCCACTCACATAGGGGAGGCTCCGTGGCCCCAGATGCACCCTGTGCCATCATCAAAAAGGCAGGTTTCAAGGCGGGTCACTCAGCAGAAATTGGAGGGTGCCACTGCCTGGCATAGACTCCACATTGCTCCCAATCCCAATAAGAGGGCTTCTCTGGCTCCAACATGACTCCCTGCTCTTTCTTTACAAATAGTCCTTTAGATTCTCCTGTGATATGGATTGGAGGACCACTGGTGGTACAGTGGTTAAAGCATTTAGGTCAGAAGTTTGAACCCACCAGCCACTCCATGGGAGAAAGATGAGGCAGTCTGCTTTTGTAAAGAGTTAAAGCCTTGGAAACCCTGGGGGTTGGGGAGTTCTACTCTGTCCTATAGGCTCAGTACCAGTTGGAATTGACTTGATGGCAGTGGGTTTGGGTTTGGGTTAGGTTTGGTGATACAGGTCTGCTGGGCTGGGAAAGCGTCCTTTGTTTTGGGGAGGTCTTGCTGGTACATGTCTGGCTCAAGCAAACACATTGTTCTTTAGGAATAGGGGATTCACCACAAGGAAGATGGGTTCTGGAAGACTTAAAACATAAGAAAAACAGGCTTCTCTGTGTCCTCTACACAAACAATCTTTTTGAAGAACATCTTGCTTCTTTCCTTCCCTCTACAGGGAGGAGAGAGGCCCCTCCTTCTACTGGGACATGTGGCTTCAATGTGCTCTTGCACCTCCTCCTTCTCCTTCCTGGACTCATGGAAAGGGGCACTTCACAAATGATTAAAGGAGTGGAATTTGAACAATTTCATCTGGGCAATGTGACAGAGGGTGTACCCATCTTCAACTAAGAAAACACAGACTCTCCAAAGTCATCCAGACTCTTATAAATGATCAGAGACATTGAACTAGATGTAGACTTTTGAGACTAGAAGAATCATTAGATTTTCACTAATGGGGCCCTATTAATAACTACACTGTGACAACCAGCATAAAGTGGGACAATGCTGAACCAGTTTGGACATGTTATTACCCTAGAGTTTATGGGAATTGGTGTCTTTTGTCCCAGAGTATCTCTCATAAACTAGGGACCACTCTCACTTCTCTCAGCTTATATGGATGCTCAGAGGTTTCTCTCACTCATGTAATGACCCTGATCAACTTGCCTAGAGCTCACCTTGCTTTCTCCCTGGAAAAGCTGGAAAGGGCTCTGGGGGCCTCCTCAAGGCCATGTAGCTTGTAAGTTCCCCTCACACAGCCCGATATTACAGAAGCAAGGCTGCTGCTAGGAGACAGAACTAATATCGATGCAGTAAGGCTTGTCCTGCACATAACTGATATGCGTGGGAGTGGCCTCTGACTCAGGGTGAGACCAAATTGTCCAACATTGGTGGGCAGGCATTGAGTCCCTCCTATCTGGCACATACCCCCTCAGCCTGTGTATCAGCCACACCAGCTACCCTAATTTCCCTCATGGGCCATGCACAGTTGCCAAGAACATCCTTCTGCCCTGTCCCACCAGGCAGAAGCGTTGAGCCTTCACAGCTGAGATCAAAGACATCTCTAGGCAGTCTCTCCCCCCAAGATCCCTTCCTATGTGCTTCCCCTAAGTGTGCTCCCAAGAATGTGTCTCAGTTATTGTGTGGCTGGTTCCTGCCAGCTTTGGCTCTTATTCACCACTACATGTCAGGGCCCAGCATATCAAACATCAGGCTCTTTGTGAGTGCCTGCTCTGTCTGTGACTGCATCAAAGAACCTATCAATATAGCCTCTTCCCCAACACATATATGTGAAGCTGGAAAAGTTTGGAAGCACAGCACATGGGTTGAGCTCCTTCCCTCTGTGCTGGATAAAAGCACTCCCTGTGCTCTCTTTACTGGCCCCTTTTGCCCAGCTTCTCACAGGTTTGCTGAGAGGATCCCTGTATGTCAGAAGTCATTCTTACCTAGTATGAAGGCCACCACATAGTTGGAGATCTGGCCCATGCCCACGATGACAAATAATACAGTGAACATCTCCCAGTTGATGGAGAAAATCTGCAGGAAGCTGAAGCCAGTTTGCACAGCCATGGTTGTGAAGAGGATGTTCTTCCTACCAAACCTATAGAACACAGCAAAACACAAAACATGACATGGAAGTTGCAGCAATGCTGTAGCTCAGGGTATGTTGCAAGCCCCATGTCAAGCATCTCTGAAGATTTGTTTTTTCAGAGTTCTGACAGACTTCTCTCTGTCACATCCTCCCAGCTTCTTCCTTGGTGAGGCCCTAGGCATCTATCACCCAGAAGGTAACTTTTGAGATGCTGTGCCTCCTATAGAGGCACCATAACCTTGAAAGCACTTAGCAGCTTATGGAAGATCACATGCGAATCTATCCTGCAGAACAAGTCACAGGAAGATGCTGCCACCACACTTATGGAAAGTGGGTACTATACAGACTGCAATCACTTCTTACATTAGTAACATGGGACTGCTATAAATCCAGAACCAAGGGTCCCTCTATGACAGTGGATTTCAACCTTAACTGTACTTGGAATCAACTGGAGAGCTTTAAAATATACTAGTGCTAGCATCCTGCCTCCAGAAAATCTTATTTGTCTGGGGTGCAGTTTGGGCACTGGGATTTTAAAAAAATTTTCCAGATGACTCTAACGTGCAACCAACATTGGGAACCATGCTTTATGAGAAGATGTAGCTTTTAACAATGTCTACTAGTTACTCTGGAGTTGGTTTAATTGTTAATTTCACATTCTGGGAATGGCCAATGGATAGAATGGAGCACAGCTGTGAGCAGAACAGCTTCCCACCCCATTTTCCAAACTCAGTTCTCACGCTGCTGGGAATGGGTTGCATTGACTTTGTAGTTGGAGGAAAGGCAGTAATTTTCCCAGGATTGCCATTTAGCAGTCCTATAGAGGCACCATAATCTGTAGAGGCCATTCTTTCCTGGCCTTTCAGAGGGCTGAAGGGATCCCTGTGTGCCAGAAGCTATTCCTACCTAGTATGGTTTCCCCACAACATTCAAAGAGCCAGTGGAGCCCTTCTCCCAGTGCTGCGATGCTGTCTCCTCCAGACTGTAAGCTCCATGGGCCCAGAACCAGCCTGAATCAGCTATGTGTCCTCTGTGCTCAATCAGGGACCCAATCTACAGCAAAGCATGGTCCTTACTCACTGTCAGACCTTGACTCTGGCTGATGGGTTGTTTGTGGACAGATCACATGTATCTCTCTCTCTCTCTCTCTCTCTCACACACACACCCACACACACACCAATTCTCAGAGTTGGGTGTGTGAATGGACTAGGTATTAAATGTGCAAGTGGTCCCAGGGGTCTCTGGTTATATTTTCTGGGCAGACTTCTCCAGAGGACCCTGTAGACATTGGTCTACTCACACTCAGAGAATTGGGGGTGAAGAAGGTAGGACAGTAGTGATGGCAGCCCATGATTTTGAGGGTTTGGAGGTATAAAGACTCTACTTTCTGTTGGGGCACTGCCCTTTCATCACCTCTGGCCAAAGCCCTAGGAATGCAAAGCTGGGAGACTTGAACAAAAGTTGGTCCAGACTAGGTGGGCTGAAGTGTACAAGACATCATGGTTCCTCTCATCACTGACACTGTGGCCTGAGGGTCCTCCCTTTCTCTAAGTGAAAAATGCTCTGAATTCAGCCCAATTCTAAGCCAGGTAGAGAAATCACAAGGGGTTCCATCCCCACTTCCCTCTCTCCCAGCCACCTTACCTGTCTGACAGCTGCCCAGACACGAAGGAGCCTAAAAGCACGCCTATGAAGAACAGGGAGGTGGTGAGGGGCGTTTTCCAGTCATCCTCACACACCAGATTCCACTGCCAAGGAAGACAATGTGAAGAAGTGAGCCCAGCCCTCCAGCCCCAGCTCCAGCCCACATCCCAGGGAATGTTGACATCACTGCCAGGCAGGCTCTCTTCCCCAGTGCCTGGCCTTTGTGCAAGGGGCACAGGCCTTACTGCCCTGTAAGAGACTTCAGGTGCTACTGAGGCAAGTAGTCTCGGGCAAGCCACTGCCCTCCCTGAGACTCAGCTTCCTTTTCTGAAAAGAGAGGTTGCTGGCTCTTGATCTGTTTATATCACAGAGCGAAAAGTGAGCCGAGGCAATGGCCATGACTGCTGATCCCTCATATGAGCAAAACAGTGTGAGGCAAGGAAGTAGCATTAGTGCTTCAGAAGTCATCCCAGCATGGAGAAAAAGTTGGAAAAGCTCAGGAGGCAGGACCAAGGGCCCATCACTTGGTCCAGGGGTAAAGGTTTCCATTACCTTGTTGGAAAGTGCAAGTGGTCCCAGGGGGTCTGTGGTTATATTTTCTGAACCAACTCTCTGGAGAATTCTGTGTTCTCTGGGCCACTCACACCACAGGCCAAGCCTGAGGCTCCTATCTCCCTCTCCTGCACCCTCCTTCCCACCTAGACTTTGGAGAAATGGGTCCCTCCTATTCCCCAGGACCCATGGGCTATTGAAGTCCTAACAAGTTCCTGCTGGTTGGATCCATAAAATGAGGGTTTCAACCAGAGATTAGTTCCCAGCTGTTGACTTAAGCCAATTTAGCGAAACCTCAAGCGAGGTAGCAAAGATTTCAAAGTATGTTAGCTGCCAATGAGTGTTTCGGGGGTAGAGTGGTAGCTTCTGTGACAGGAAAACCCAGTCTAGAGGAAAGAACCCCTTGCCTCCTATCCAAATCCATTTCTGGTGGTGGTGATACTTCTGTAGCATTTACAAAACAGTTGAGTTTTTAATCTTCACAACCACTTAATGTGTTGGTGGATTAAAATGAATTCATATATTTATATCATATCTCATTATGCAGCAGAGAAAGGCTTTTATAAACACACACACAAGAGTAGAGTATGAAAAAGCTGGCGGAATTAGGATTAACAGAAAGTAAAGGCAGCAAAAGAACTAAACCAGGGTTAAGGCTGGACTCAGAACGGCCTGCCATAGGACCTGCTTGTTTGCCAGAGAGGCCTCCAAATCCGGCTGTATGCTAGCACTCAGCTCTCAGAAGATCACAAAGTCTGTTATGGATTGAATAACAGGGTTGAAATCCTGGCCCCTATATGTGTAACTAAAGAAGATCCGGTGGTCAAAGCATTTGGTTGCTAATCAAAAGGTCAGAGGTTCAAACCCACTAGTCTCTCTACAGGAGTAAGAAGAGGGAGCCCACTTCCATAAAGATTAAAAGTCTTGGAAATCCTATGGTGCCATCCTACTCTGCCCTATAGGGTCACTATGAGTTGGAATGAACTTGATGGCAGCAGGTTTGTTTTTGTTTCATATACCTGTAAATATGACCCTGTTTAGAAACAAGATTTCCTTTGTTATGTTAATAAAGCCATAGTTGAGTAAAGTGGGTTCTAAATCTGATCACTTCTGAGTTCTAGAAAAAGCAGAATGGATTATTACTCCTCAGAGGATGATCCAAGATGGTGGACTTGGCAGCTACACTATCCAGACCCTCTACAACAAAGATTCGAGAAATCAAGTGAAATGGATACAGATGACAATCTTGAATCCAGAGCTTCAAAGGAAAGGATAAAGAAGTACATGAAATACCAAGGAGAGGAAGAGATTGAACAAAAACAGCAAACACAGATGGTAAACTGACAACCTACTCAGTGCAGCCATTTCAAATTATTCGAGTAGGTTCTGATTGGAGATAACCAGCTACACATGCCCAGGACTGCACCAGCATCTACATCATTGATCAGAACCAAAGAGGTGTGACCTTCTCCTTTACCTTGAACAATCTCCAGGTGTCTGGAAGAACCATTTTCTCCATCCCCACACAACCATCAGCCAGGCAAACACACCCTCTCAATACTGCCAGCATTATGCCTCTTTTCATCTTTCTCCTTAGTTTTCCCCTCACCCCCTTTTCTTTTCTTCCTCTTCTCTTGTCCTTTTTCTTTTTTTTTGATCCTACAGAGCAGGTGCCCCTCCCCTCATCACCTAGGCAGTTAGCAGTGTCCGCCCTGCCGCTCCCTGATCAGAGGCACGCAATCTCACAGAGTGAGTGCTGGATTCCTGTGCAGCTGTGTTTGGCTAAGCTTTTGCTAGTGCTGCGCTGGTGTAGTGCCTAAGGCATTTCACTATCAACCAGAAGGCTGGCGGTTCAAACCCACCAGCCACTCCTTGGAAGAAGATTGGGCAATCTACTTCCATAGTGATACTGCCTCAGAAACCCAAGGAGGGGTCTCTACGACTAGGATCCAACTCAATGGCAATGAGTTTAGTTTTGGTTTGGTGCTGTTTTTTATTATTTTCCTGGAAATTTTTTTTTCTTTTTCTTTCATCATACTTCCTTTTTGCTCTAGTTTTCCTCTTCTTTCTTTTCTACCTTTGCACTTTTGTTTTAATCCCATGGAACAGATGCTTGTACCTGAAGTGACCTCTGCCTTCCCACTGCAGCTGTGTGTTTGGTGGCTAACACTTGTGCCACTTTTCATTTGTTTTTCTCTTTTCTCCTGTCTTCTCAGTTCTTTCCTCTTCCATCCTCCTTGCTTTTTCTGTTCTTTTTTTTCTCTTCCCCTCCCCACTTTTTTTTTTTCAATCCAACTGAGAGTGTGCCCCACCCTTCACCACCTCAGTGTTCAACATTGTCTACCTGCCTCTGACTCTCCACATTTGGTGGTCAGTAGTGTGCGCTCCTGCAGAATGAGTGCCACATTTCTGTAACAGCCAAATTTGGTGGCTAGCACTTGTGCCAGTACTGTGCCACATCTGGCTTTTCTTCTTAGGTCTCCCCTCTTCCCCCATCTTCTTTTCTTTTCTTTTTAATTCCTCTCCCCTTCCTTTTTTTTTTTTTAATTTAAATTTTTATCTTTTATCTGCAGTTGGGAGCCTATGATGCTCCCCAGCCATATTCATCACATCTGCTGCCCCAACCCCTGAGCAAGTGCCACCACCTGCTCCAGCACCACTGGATCAACAACAGATAGCAGCCAACACCCCACCCCCAGCCTGCCCTCAACTGCTTTACATGATCAGCCATCAGAAACTCATGCCCACAGTCCTACCTACTAACAAATCCACTCGGAGACAAGTGGTAAGCACCCCAGTACAAGAAACACACCTTCCCTGTTGCCTGGATATATTAAAACAACAACAAAAAGTTAGGGTGAAGCAAACCAGCATATAATCAACAAATCGATACAACACTACAATATCTTGGAGAAAAAGACAAAGCCATTTGGCTGCTAACCAGAAGGTCAGTGGTTCAAACCCACCAACCACTCCACAGAAGAAAGATGGGGCAATCTTCCATAAAGATTTATAGCCTTGGAAACCCAATGGGGTTGTTATGAGTCAGAGCAACTCAATGACAGTGAGTTTGGTTTGCCAGTGGATTGAGAAAAACTTCTTGAAAACCACAGACAAAAATCAAGGAAAACACAGACCAAAACTCTAAGAATTAAAGAAAAATTACAAGAACAAATTGACAAAATAATGGAAAATTAGAAACCATACAAAAACAGCAAATAGAAGTCTAGAAGATTAACATCCTACAGTCACCAGAAGAAAGGAAATAATAAAGACTCAAGCAGAAATAAATGAAACAGAAAAACAAACAATAGAAAGAATCAACAAGACTAGAAGTTGGTCCTTTGAAATGATGATTAAAATCGACAAATCACAGGCAAATTTAAAAATAGAAAAGATGCAAATAACACATATAAGAAATAAAATAGGTGATGTCACAACAGAACCTACTAAAATAAAAAAAGATAATAGCAGAATATTATGAAGAACTATACTCCAACAAATTTGAAAATGTAGAAGAAATGGAAAAATTTCTAGAAACACACTACCTATTCAAACCTACTTTGCTGTGAATAGGGTTGCTATGGGTTGGAGATGACTTGACGGCACCTAATAACAACAACAACACTCAAACTAACAATCTGAGTTAGAAATTTTGAATAGACCCATCACAAAAGAAGAAATTGTACAGGTCATAAAAAAAGTCCAAGGAAAAAAAGTGCTGGCCCAGATGGCTTCACTGATGAAGTCTACCAAACATTCACAGAAGAGCTGACACCAATTCTATTCAAATTATTCCACAATATAGAAAAGGATGGAATACTCCCAAACTTATTTGATGAAGCAAGCATAACCATGATACCAAAACCAGGCAAATGCATTACTAAAAAAGAAAATTATAGACCCATATCCCTCATGAACATTGACACAAAAATTCTCAAACAAATACTAGCCAATAGAATCCAACAACATATCAAGAAAAATAATACATCATGACCAAATGGAGTTCATACCAGGTATGCAAGTAAGGTTTAATATTAGGAAAAAAAAAAAAACCCACATAATTTACCACATTAAAAAACAAAACAAACAAACAAACAAAACAAAACAAAACAAGAGGAAAAGAACCACAGGATCATATCAAGTGAAGCAGAAAAAGCATTTGACAAAAAAATAAAGAATAAGGATGACCAAAGAAGAGTCAATGCTTTTGAGTTGTGGTGCTGGCAAAGAATGCTGAAAGTACCATGGACTACTAAAAAAACTAACAAATCTGTCCTAGATGAAGTGCAGCTGGAATGCTCCTTGGAAGCAAGAATGGCCAGACTTCGTCTCATCTACTTAGGTCTTGTTGTGAGAAGGGACAATTCCCTGGAGAAGGATGTCATTCTTGGCAATAGAGGGCCAATGAAAGAGGGGAAGGCCCTTTACAAGATGGATTGACACAGTGTCTACAATGATGGGCTCAGGTAGAACAAGGATTGTGGAGTTGGCGTAGGACGGGGCAGTGTTTCATTCTGCTATGCATGGGGTTGCTATGAGTAAGAGACTA